AGTTGATCTTCTCTTAAGTTAATGGACTCACTCACCTAATGTCATAAAAATACAAGTAATACCTTGTATGAACAATACATGCGTGTACACATTTTATGGCCCAAACTTTTTGTGAATATCTGGTAAAACTTTTGTGAATGCACCTTGGCCTAATATGGCTCAATAAAGAAGTAAAACTTTTTAGGAATTAAACTTTCACATTTTCCAAAAAATCACTAAATAAGCAAAAAAATTATGTACTGTACATGCAAACATTGCATGTATACCATACCATCATATACAGTATAAGCTTAAAACCATACAATAAGGCTAAACTTTAAATAGTCAAAAAATCTAATTTAAACTCTCTGCACAACATTTACATGCACATGAATCAGAAAACATTTTACTAATAATACAATTAAAAAATAACTTAATTTTCTGAGTGTCTTAAGAGCCAGTAGTCTCACAGACTGTATCTCGTCATTGATCATGTCAATAAGGAAGTCAAGAGAGGCGTGGCCAAACTCAGAGCTCCTTCCACTCAGCTGACCCATTGACTGTATAGCAGCAGATCTGACCTCCATGAACTCATCCTCAGTACAATGAACAAAAGCACCACATGAACCAGAACTCATTAGAGTAACCTGAGAGGAGAGAGGAGAGAGGGAAGAAGAGGGGTGAAACAAAGGGGGGGGAAGACACAAACTTTATACAAATCAATTTCATATACATGTACATGTAGTCATGTATATCATGTACATAAATCTATAAGTATACAGAGATTTAAGGCCAGTAAAAAACTGTAACAGACAGTAACATGTACATTTAGTATTAGAGAGAAAGAGGGACAAAAAGTAGAGGGAGATATATGTATATGTACATGTACGGTACATGTATTAATTGAAGTAGTCAATAAAAGAAACAGGATATTACATACATGTAAATGTACATGTATGTGCACATGTACATGTGGGGAAGAGACAAGGAAAGAGGAGTAGGAGAAAGTAATACATGTAACCTCACGTATATATACATGTAAATGTATGAATATCTTAAATTATTAGCTGTACCTCAGATGGGTCCAGGTTCATTTTAGTAGGGCCCCCTCCCCACCGTTGACCAGTGTCCCATGACCCTTGAGTGTGGAGCTCACGGGCTCTATCATGATCACTCTTCACATAACGAAGGTGAGACATTAGCTTCTTGTCCAGAGTCTGGAGTAGAAACCTTTCACTGACGCTAGTGAACTGCCCAAGGAGAGAAGCAGAGAGACAGCGTACCTGAAGGGATCCATCAGTTACCATACCACACGTCTTTATGAATGCATCATCCTCTAATGATAGAGTAACACTGGGGTCCTTTGAATGAGGGATGGTACTATAAGAGGAGAGAGAGAGGGAGAGAGAGAGGGAGAGGGAGAGAGAGGGAGAGAAAGAGAGCAGAAAGGGAGGGAGGGAGAATAAAAGGGTAGGAGAGAAGACAGAAAAAATTTTCAGATGAGAGAAAATAAAAGGAAATTACAGAGAGAAAGAGAGAGTGTGTACAAAGAAAGGAGTGAAAAAATAGAATTCATTATTAACATCAAATACATGTACATTTACATGTAGAAACATTACTGTATATTACATGCATAGTTACATATGCCCACAACATGGATACACATACATGTATATGTAAATTGTAATGACTAATGTACATGTAATTCATTAAACGTGTGTGAGAGATCATACCATACCTTTCCT